TGCTGATTCCAAAAGCTTGGATCGATGTAAAGAACCCACATTGGATTCCAAATTAATTATATATATTTATATATACATGAAGAGAAAATCTGAACTGTGTGGAAGAATGAAGTCACAAAAATCTAATTTGTGATGGGTCCCTATTTCATACACGCCTAAGGTTTATGGAATGGTTTGCATGGCTTCTTCTACGGAAGTAGCCCACGCATGGCCCCTAAAGTTAGCGAATGCCAATGTTTATGCCCACAAAGACAATTTTGACCTTTAAGCCAATGCAAAACCTTGGCTTATTTTAATTAATGAAATGGCTAAAATGGACAATATGTGTCATCCTTCCGTAGCTTTAGATTTGGGTTTGGAATAAAGAGTGAGGAAAGAAGAAAAGAAGAAATCTTTGCAAATTCTATCTCCTCAGTGGGGTTTGTTTGAGCACTTTCTCTACAAACTAGGATGTAAGAGAATAACACTGAAAGATAGAGTGACAGAAAATCCTCAAGACTATAATGGAGAACAATTATTTGATATATATTCCACGAACCAAATAATAAGCTTGAGGAAAGTATATAAACATGATCGATAGAGAGAACATGCTATTTTGATGAGTTATGAATTATTGTATATACCATCGAAACGGAGTAAGACCGTGAGAACTTTAAAAGTATATTTAAATATACTTGCACATTATATATATAGTTTTCTTTTTCTTTTCCTGAGTACATTTACATGTATACATTTTTTTAATTTTATGCTAAATCAATTTGTATTATTTTACACATGCATAAAATTAGCAGAAAAGCTATGTTATTTAACAAAGTTTTATGCTTCAAGGAATTTGGAATTCACTCACTGAACTGGCCATCAATAATTATCATTTCTTATTTAATTCCATGTAAATAAATTAAAGGAAACGTGTGACTGTACTAATACTAACTTATATGCAAACTACGATAATTGCCAGATTTTTACATGCTTTGTAATTAATGTCAATCAGTGAATCAATCATGTTAGTTGTGGGGTTATGTCTTCATAAGCTTTTCTGGCTTCTCCTTCTATTATTTTTTCAATGATCTTAAGCCAGTTGCTGAGCAATATTGTCTCTCTTTTAAAATCATTCCGAGACCCTTTTGAGATTTGGGTGTTTAATACTTAGCAAAAGAAAAGGTAGAAAGTTCCATCAGTCCCAAAAAGAAAACAACTCTTTTGTACCTAAGAAAAAGATAAAATAAAATATATAACATATGGTGATGTGATTAAAATATAATTATGAGAAAAAAAAAAGATTTATTTATTTATTAAAAAAATAAAAGTAAAAAGGGGAATTTTACGAGTCAAGTGGGTTAGGATACTTCCTAGTCTTTGCTGGGTCATTCCAGTCATCCCCCTCCATCTTTTTCTCTCTGCAGACTTCTTAGCCTTTTTTAGTCCCCTTTGCCTTTTTCTCTTTTTTTCACCAAATTTTTTATTTTTTTAGTTTAATTTTTTCTTAATGTGTTTTACAATTTGCCACTACTATTTTTCAATAGTTGTTGATTGCATGGTGGATTCTATCGAACATAATTCTACATGTATGAACACACACATATCTAAAATAGTTGTTAGCTCAGACAAAATCCATAGCATAGACAGTGACTTGAAAAATAACCCACAATCATCCTCTCCTCTCTTCACGAGATTAATCAATTATTTTAGCTTTTTCTTTTACTATTATTTTTTTTTTTTTTACCACAAAGCGAATGATGCCTTTCTCTGCCACCTGTTCACTAGCAAGGTTCTGCGTATAATTATTAGTGGTGTCCCGAGCTAGGATTTTGCATTTCTTGGCTCGCCAAAAGTAGCCATCACGAAGCCAAGATAATAAATATATAGCTACGGTTTGCAACAAACAAACAAACCGAGACATTAGAATATCGTATCTTGCTTTTCCTCTCTTTCTTTTTTCCTCCAACTTGGAGTTTTTCTTCAAAGCCAATGTTCCCTGCAGTTATGTCCAATTCCAATTCCTTGTCCGAAGAGGCCACTGTCTCCTGTGGTACAAGAATCGCTGGACTAAATCATGTAGTTACAACCCTTTCTCCACAACAGCCTCAAAAGATCAAGAAAAAGAGAAGCCTCCCAGGGAATCCAGGTAATTAATTAACTTATTATTATTTATAGTTAATATATGCTCTTTGAATTATATAAATATGCATGGATGTAACATGTATATACTTTAATAAACTAATGATCTAACTCAGTTAGTTGAACAGATGTGTGAGTCGTTGTAAACTTTCTGATATCGAGTTAGATTCTCTCTAATTGGTGAGTGATGAATTATTAGTGTGCTAGTTAGGTTAATTTTGTAATATAATTTGTGACACGTTTCAGACCCGGATGCTGAAGTGATTGCTTTGTCACCGAAGACTCTTCTAGCTACGAATAGATTTGTGTGTGAGATCTGCAACAAGGGTTTCCAGAGAGATCAGAACCTTCAGCTTCATAGGAGAGGGCATAACCTGCCATGGAAGCTGAAGCAAAGAAACAACAAAGAGGTGAAAAAGAAAGCATACGTTTGTCCAGAGCCTTCATGCGTTCACCACAATCCCTCAAGGGCTCTGGGGGACCTCACAGGAATTAAGAAACACTACTGCAGAAAACATGGAGAGAAGAAGTGGAAATGTGACAAGTGCTCAAAGATCTATGCGGTTCAGTCAGATTGGAAAGCTCACTCTAAAACCTGTGGTACTAGAGAATATAGATGTGATTGTGGAACCCTCTTTTCCAGGTATATATACACATATATGTTACCAAGCATTTTTAGAGTGTGCTCATGTATTACTTTTATTTTCTCTCCTTGTTAATTAGTTTTTACTTTAGATGACTCATGTTAATTTATATATCAAAAGAAGTTCTCAAATTTTTTTTTTCGGTGGATCTTTGTTCTTACACATGAATGGTAAGCTGGATTTCGTCTTAGAATTTGTCTCTTCTTTCAATGCTCGAGTGACATGGCAGGTTGCATGAAAGTGGACACAGCTAATATAAGAGTGTCGATTTGCAAGAGTGACTGAAACTTTACCTGTTTCTGAATCCTAAAACTGCCAAATGAATGTGCGGCAATTAACAAGAACAACAACAAAAAAACACAATCCACACGCCTTTTGTTTTTATCTACTGTTTTATCTGTGACTCAACAGCATTTTGTTGGTGTTAATGTTTTTTTTAACCTCATGATGCATGCACATGCATGTCAGCATGAAGGCATGATATGTACTATTTTTACATTATGTAAAAAATTTCAAGTATTCAACTCATAGGGTTTTAAGCTACACAAAAATTTCAAGGGTGTCAGAGAGTGCTCAATTGTTTTCTAGACTTCCACACTCTCTCTCTTTCTATATGCACATATGTATATGGAGTGGCTGCAGTCTCTAAGAAAATGATGGAGATCTATTTTTGTCTACTGAAAAGTAAAAGAAGTATAATTAATATTGCTCTAAAATTTGTGATGATTTCTTACTTTTTCTTAACTTTTATTTTACTTAGCCATTTTTCTCTGAAGTCTGAACTTTCATCATTGTGAAATCTGATAAATCTGCAAAGAAATCTGATGTGCTAAGTTGCTTTCCTCTAGCATCATCAGTGGATACATGGATACATTTCCATTATTTCTTCGTGCATAAGCTCTAGCTTCCCAACACTTCCGCCATCATGACAACATTACCAATAATCCTTTCACATTTTGAGTCAATAGATTATATTTCTTTCCAATTAAAATTGGTATTTTATTTTAATAGCTGTTAGTTTCCTTCTGACAATTATATTAAATTGACTGTAATTATCAAAACAAGATTTCGATTCTAATTAAAAAAATACTACTAACATAGTTTAAGTATTGTCCAATAATTTTATATCTGCATGTACAAAGCATATGGGCATCCATCAATTGACATTTCTTCACCTCTCTCCTACTTTTAAATTTGACCCTGCTGCGACAATTCATGTCCCAGTAGGTCTAAACCTTTTACACTTCAATTCGTGCATGGACTATTGCCCCCCTCCCATGCATGATTTTCCTCACCTTTTTGCTAACGCGGCACATTCTACAAGGACGTAATATAAGTCCTCCATCTGTTTTGCAAACTTCACATTTTCATGCATGATTCACTTCATCGGTTGTACTCGCGAAATATATCAAAGCTCACACAATACCTCAAAAAGAAAAAAGAAAAAAGTTAATATTAATAACTTATTTTATATATATATTTTACTAATTAATACATTTTTAATGTAATAATGCTTTCCTTTCTGATATAAAAAAACTTGTTATTAATGTTTTAATATGACTAATATGAAAAATATAAGATGGAGAATCCAGTCACCATTCTCCTCCACCATGTGAAAACCCAATCTACACTATTTTTTCCCTTGTTAACTCATTTATTGTTGTTGTTAATGTCATGTACATGCATGAATATATATATTTCTGGTCCTATATTGTGCAGTGCAGGTATAATTTGTATTATTATTTGTATGAAAACTGCAGGAAGGACAGCTTCATAACTCACAGAGCTTTCTGTGATGCATTGGCTGAAGAAAGTGCAAGACTGTCAGCAAACCAGTTAGCCACCAACAACACCACCACAAACCCATTAGTCCACTCCCTCTTCCTTTTCCCAACCCAACAACAACACCACCACCACAACAACAACAACAGCAACTTCATCAACACCTGGGACCCTTCTCAACAAAACCCTAACCCTAGCAACCTCACCACCCTCCACACCAACATCAAACCTGAAGAATCTCCAAACTTCCACAACCTCTCTTCTCCCCCGTTCCTCCACCACCACCCCAAGACCATCATAACCTCACCCTTCCGTGACCTCTCACAGCCCACGTCACCGCACCTCTCCGCCACTGCACTGCTCCAGAAAGCCGCAACCGTTGGCGCCGCCACCCTCACAGGCCCCACTCATCACGTGACTCAACTCGGCATGGCCGAGTTAGTTGACTCGGTAGCTCCCGAACGCTACATCAACATGAGAAGCATCAAGAACAATGACGGTCTCACCAGGGACTTTCTCGGGCTCACCAACGGCAGCGCGGTTGACGTTAGCATCGACGTCAAGGATATGCTAACGTTCACGGGAGGGAGCGTAGAGTATAACCATCACCACCAACGCTACGAGCACCGTCATAATAATAACTCGCTTTTCAAGCCACAACAAGGTTTTGGATTCCTTGGCACAACAACTGGCCCCGAATCCTGGGGAAATTGTGAGTAATTAAACACCCTTTTTAGTCCATGAAATTGTAAGCTTTCGATCACTCCTAATTTTACAAGATGTTTTACTTTAATCCTTAATTTTGCAAGAGTTATTCATTTTGTACCGAAAAGAACTGAATGATGACCTTGTCTAAAATTAAGGATTCAAGTAAAAATTTTGTAATGGTAAGTTACTATAAAGTGATTGCTACTTACAATTTTAAGGATGAATGTTGGGTACTGTACTAGAAAATTGTTAACACAAACAAGAGAGTGATTCCGAAACTAAGAGGATAGAATGGGCATCTCAATTTGCCTTATATCGTACCCTTGCACGAACTTGTATTTTTATTTTACCCCTTTAAATTACTACAATGCTTTGTTTCAGCCTCGTTGATGAATTAATCATTAAACGTGTTTTGGTTTTGTCACTGTTTTCTTTTAAATCGATCTGTCCTCGTGTCGTTGTTTTTAACTTGTAAAGTACAATTCTTATTTCTTTTAAGTTTCCGCTATATATACAAGTATACACTAAATGGTTAATTAAATAGTTATAGTGGTTATGAATTTGTGTATGTATGATAGATGAATGATGCGTACAGGTAAATAAGTTTGATGTATATATATGCATCGTTTGTTGAATACATATCTGAGTAAGACGAAGACGAGTCGATGTGTAAATTGCACAGATGGAAGTTGAGAAGAGCGACGACGGTGGCCTTTCTTTCTTGTCAGTGTGCAAACAGAGAAAATGTCACATGCAAAGTTATAATAATGATTGGTCCTTTTGTTTTTATCACTGCCTATGTCCTATCTTTATCTTGACAGCTTTTGATACACTGCTACTACCGAAAATTGCTGTGTTTCTTATTTTTTTCATTTCTAATTGAAATGTTTATTTAGTACAATTTTCAGTTCCACGGGGATGCTAGCTAGATTCATACAACTACAAGGAATATAATGTTAGCAGTAAAATACGTCACTCAATTATCCTTTCAATATTGAGTGTGAGAGTTAAAAATAATACCCTTCGAGTTCTTTTTATATAAAAAAAGTAATAATATAAAATATATTTTCACTTATTTTTATTAAAAAAGAAGAAGAAGAAGAAAAGACCAGAAGTAGTATGCATAAACGCAACTGATCATTTGATGATGCATTTACACGTTTGATATTTGATATTCAAAGAAACAAAAGTAAAGCATTTTAAAAGGAAAGTATATATTGTATCAGATATATATATATATATATAATATTTATTTATAATAAATAATTAAATATTTTAATTAGATATATTTAATGTTTCTCAATATATTTTGGGGACATTCATTAGCAATTGTTTAAAAAAGAAAAACAAAGGTGTTGGTACAAAGTTAACTATACGTATAGGCTGCGTGTGAGATTTTTTTAACTAAAATTTTGATCCTCTTCAGTCATTAATTTAAAGCACAAAACTAAACTATTTTCCAGGATAAAACATTTTAACATTGTTAGTATTTCATATCAAAAAATTGAATAAAAAGATTCACACTCCCGAAATTCCAACCTAATTTTAGCTTTAAACACTACAACACAAATGGTATTTAGCAACATTTGAAAAATGTTACTTAATTATGTATAAATGTTACTAATTTGTTTTAGCAACATATTATCAAATGTTGTATATAATCCATGTTGTTAAAGATTTTTAATAACATTTTTGCATAATTAGGTAACATTTTTTAAATATTACCAAAATAGTATTTTTGTAACATTTTAATAATTTTTTGTAACATTTTAATGATATTGTCAATATTTTGTTAATCTTATAAAATAATAATTAATTTTAATTTAAATATTACTATCAATTATGTCTCCTAAACTTCTAAAAGTTCCTTAAGTTTTTAGGAAAAGACATTTTTAGTTAGTCACCACTAATTATATATAGAATATCAAATTTCATTTATCTTAAGTATAACTATATGAGTATATATACTCTTTATAAGTTATTAATTTATTCGATGTGGGACTTTAATTATGAGTTACAATTAAATAAAAAAAATATACTTTTTTTTAACTTGATGTGGGACTTTGATTTTAGAAACAATTATAGTAACATTTTTCAAAAAAATGTTGCAAAATAACTTATGTAACAATTAGAAAGAATAATATTGAAATAAAAAATGTTACTCTGTCTATAATGACATTTTTTAATCTCCTAAACTTCTAAGAGTTCCTTAAGTTTTTAGTGAAAGACATTTTTAGTTAGTCACCACTAATTATATATAGAATATCAAATTTCATTTATCTTAAATATAACTATATGAGTATATATACTCTTTATAAGTTATTAATTTATTCGATGTGGGACTTTAATTATGAGTTACAATTAAATAAAAAAAATATACTTTTTTTTAACTTGATGTGGGACTTTGATTTTAGAAACAATTATAGTAACATTTTTCAAAAAAATGTTGCAAAATAACTTATGTAACAATTAGAAAGAATAATATTGAAATAAAAAATGTTACTCTGTCTATAATGACATTTTTTAAAAAAGTATTACAAATAATATTTATTTAATATATAGTATAACATTTTAACACATGTAAATAAAAAAATGTTGCTAAAAGATTAAAATCTAGTAGTGAAAATATCAATAATTAGGATAAGGAGATATAAAAATGCATTGTTATGCTTATCATCAATAAAACTTAGATGAGTTATCCAATTGCTATTTCTTATAGGAAAAATCAGAAGAAATATAACGCGAGAAAACAAAATCGATATATAAATGTGCTCACTGCTCAGCTTATGTAGTTAATTTAATTATTGTCTTCATTCTTGAATTTCATGAGAGCCACGATAATGACTTAAAGCCATAGTTGTATGCATGCATGACTAGAGAGAGATGCACCCCCTACAGATAATATTAAAGAAATAACAGATAAATGTGTATAATTTTGTATATACACATAATATATTTGCTAGATTATAGACAAATAATATTAAAAGAAATGATACAATCTTATACGAATTTAAAATAAATTTAGTAAATAAAAACTATATCATAAAGTGTACGAGCAGAAAAACCTCTTCACAAAATCAGAGGTTGAAGAGACGTGATTTTCAATTTTTTTGTGAATGGTATGTTCCGAATTTGTAAGATAAATATTATGAGCGTAGCTTATCACGTTAATGAGATGATCACATGTCGGCGAGGTGTTATCTGTCCCAACCATGCAAATTTTAAAATGACTGAAATGCCCCTCGTGGCATCCTGGATTGAAAAGAGAGTGATGCTTTAGAGTTAGAAACCAGCATTATTCATACACCCAAACATGTCAAATAATTCTGTAGAAAAATTATTATGACCGTACGTGTAGTATTTATATACATATATAAGAATTCACCTTCGTGGAAGATGTGAAGTCCCCCTCTATAATTGTTCGAGTTAATAATCATAATCTAATTTTGTGCAAAAAAATCTTCGTGATAGTGGAACTTGTCATTTTGAACATTATTTGTATAATAATTTAGTTGAAGTCTCTGTCTAGATAGATAGCGAATGATGTAGATTGTCAAGGTCGTGCATTAGAAGTGACGCCATTTTTGGATTTAGCAGCTAAATGCCAAAGTCCTCCATGTCGCTACCTTTTGTCTCTATCTGTGCCATGCAAGACTTGGCTCCAAAAGGGTCAAGTAGGCCATTATTATTTCAAGTTAAATTTAACTAAGGAATTTTCGTGAATGATATTCAAACCAAAACAGCTCATCATCTCTGCCTTTTTGTGAAATCCAAAATCATAACCCGTGAGTCAATGAGGTCACTAAGTAAGTAGTAATTAATTAATGTCCCACATATTACAAACCAAACTATTAGAGTTATTAATTAGTTTAACCAGTTAAATACTTGTGCTTTTTAATTAACAATCGAGTTTAATTTTTACTTTGAATATAAAGTTGTAACCGTAAGTATTATTTGACTTTTATAAAATCAACATAATAAAAAGGAATTATATACCTCTTTATAAAAAAAAAAACATAAGAGTTATCTATGTGAGTCTCTTAAATTAATTAATTTATGTATGACAAAATCTTCCTAAAGATAAAAATTTAGTATCGTTAACCACTTATACTAAGTTGTATTAACATTATAAATCTTCTTCTTAAGAAATTGATTTAAGGTGAAAATTATCCTTAGTTATACATATTATTTTGTTTTATATTATTATAATATATTGTTATATCGATTTAAATATTTTGAATATGAAATTTGTAATACTAAAAGGTAATTGGATAAAAGATGATATAATAGGCTCAATAATAATTACTACTATAAATTTAGGGGGGTGTATTGGTTTAGGATTTCATAGGATTTTGCAAACATTTTTTCAATTATGTAGTTGCTTCTGTTTTTCCTCCTTTAGCATCTAAAGCTCAGATTGATAAACTTAAGAGTGATGCTAAACATTATGTTTGGGATGACCCCTATTTGTGGAAGTTTTGCAGTGATCAAGTAATTAGGAGATGCTTGCCGGACCATGAGATTGACTCGGTCCTACAGTTCTGTCATTCTTCTGCATCTGGTGGTCTTCTTGGCATTTAGAGGATAGCTCGCAAGGTGCTTGACTGTGGTTTCTACTGGCCCACCATCTTCAAGGATGCGTGGAATATTTGCAGCACTTGTGAATAGTGTCAGAGAGCAGGATGAGCCCTTTCTTGGAGACAGTAGATGCCTCAGCAACCCATGCTATTCTGTGAGGTCTTTGATGTCTGGGGTATAGATTTCATGGGTCTTTTTCCTGTCTCTTTTGGTTTTTCATATATTCTCCTAGCTGTTGATTATGTTTCAAAATGGGTGGAAGCCAAAGCCACCAGAACTAATGGTGGGGTCGAGCAGAGACATCTCCTCTACAACTGCATCCAACAGGGAAGGATTGCTGAGGAACGGTTTCAGACGGTGCCCGTTAACCTTGAAGCTCTTTTCAATGGATTCACTTTTGATCTCAACTGTACCATAAGGAAAAACATTAGTAACAACAAAAGGTCCAATCCACTTAGAACGCAACTTACCACCCATGAGACCAAGCCTTGAATTACACAGTAAAACTTTTTGCCCAACCGTGAAGTCCTTTCTAGCTATCAAACTATCATGGAACTTCTTGGTTTTCTCCTTGTAGAACTTAGAGTTCTCATAGGCTTCCAGGCGGATCTCATCAAGCTCACTCAGTTGCAACTTTCTTTCCTCTCCAGCCTGATCAATAGAGAAGTTACAGGTCTTCACAGCCTAATAGGCTCGGTGCTCTATCTCCACAGGAAGATGACATGCTTTGCCAAAGACAACCCGATAAGGAGACATCCCTATGGGTGCTTTGTAAGCAGTCCTATGTGCCCATAGAGCATCCTCTAGCCTATTGCTCCAATCTTTCCTGTTGGGCTGCACAATCTTCTCTAAGATCCTCTTGATCTCCCTATTTGAAATCTCAAAGACCTTTTAGCTATTATTTTTGCACTTGATAAATTTCGATTATATTTGCTTGGTTCTCGTGTTATTGTTTTTACAGATCATGCAGCTCTAAAGTACCTGTTGAAGAAGGCTGACTCAAAGCCTAGGCTGATCAAATGGATGCTCTAGCTTCAAGAGTTTGACTTGGACATCCGTGACAGGAATGGAACACAAAACTTGGTGGCAGACCATCTCAGCAGGATTGAGAGAGCTGAGGGTGAGGACACTTTGCCCATTCAGGATGATTTTTCCTGATGAACACTTGTTAACTATTTTTGTTCCTTCCCCCACCCCGTGGTTTGCAAACATTTTTTCAATTATGTAGTTGCTTCTGTTTTTCCTCCTTTAGCATCTAAAGCTCAGATTGATAAACTTAAGAGTGATGCTAAACATTATGTTTGGGATGACCCCTATTTGTGGAAGTTTTGCAGTGATCAAGTAATTAGGAGATGCTTGCCGGACCATGAGATTGACTCGGTCCTACAGTTCTGTCATTCTTCTGAACATCTTAAGAATATGAATTTAGATTAACTAAGTTCTACAAAAATGATTTTACAAAATTTATTTATAAGATAAAGATTATATATATTTTATTCACATCACTAAATAATGTGGACGTTGGGACCTGAATGCTCCAATTCCGAACACACAAGTAAAGAAAGAAAGCATTTCTACATACATGCATATGTACATTCATGGCAAAATTTATTTTTCTTCGTTCCATTTTGGGGGAAGATTGCGAATTCCTAAACGAAACTAGGGTTTAGCAACTTTGGGGGTGCTGGGGCTGACCCCATTTATTGCCAAGAGCATTAACCAAATTCCAAGAAATTCTTTTTTGTGGGCACTTTTTCTTTTGAGGGATGAAGGGAGAAAATGGATATAGTTTTGGAGAAGTGGGAGCTTTTCTAAAGAGACGCTCCAAAACCTGCAATGCAGCTTATTTATTAGCGTGAGTGAAAAGGCAAAATAAACTTACGATGTATGTGTATTTGTGCGGAGTGTTATGGTGGTCCGGTACACGTAGGTGGTAATCGATTAAAAGGAAAAGAGAAAAGAAAATAAAGGGAAAGAAAATGTCAACGGTTATGAAAAAAATGCTTAGCTTGATGCACCTTTGAAAGTTTGAATTGCAATTCCTGGCCTTCTTTTCAGTCTATCCTTTATCAACTTTTGTGCCGCCCACAAATGCAATTCAACATCACTTAAGAAATATACAAATTCTAAGTTCTAAGTTCTAACCAACTATTTATCATGCTTTTGCATGAGCCACCAATTTGCTTACTTTAATTTAACTATGATCCTAAACACGACCAAACATGATAACATGTCAACTTTAATTTATGTAGTCTTATACGCTTCAAAAAGAATTAGTCTAATCGAAACAAGAAAATGTCAAATTATCTCAAAGGATTCCGGTTGTGTGAATAGTTATTCTTTTGGCTATGTATACCTTAACTACTAGTAGTATTGACACGTTGGATGGAGAGAATGTAAGGTAACAAAAGGAATGAAGAACGTTCCTTGAGAGTAAAACTGAGTGTATTCAGTGGGAGAGCACGGAAGGAAAAGAGCATGGGGATTAACGAAAGAAGATGGTGTCGGGTTATATGGTTAATTTAGGTGTGGGTGTTATGGTATATCCAAGCTTTTAGAAAGTAGTATATTTATAAGTTGAAGTTGCAGGCAGGGTCATGGTACAATTCATCCCATTTGCCTACTCTTTTTTCATGTCCCTCTGCGCTAAAAAGAGAAAAATAAAAAGCCTCTTCTATTCCCTCCTCTCTACTTGCATATGTCATCTTCCACCACGGAATGAGAAAGAATCTCATCTCAATCGCCCTTCTTTTTTTTCATCTTTTTCTTCCCCACACTGCTCATAATTACCTCAACTTTCTTTTTCGCAGAGTCCCATTCTTGGAGGGTCACATTCTTTCTCTACCTATTTCGAATATTGATTTCATTAGACCTCCATAATTAACTCGATTATGAGTCATTAAATTGAATTTTCAGGGCTTTGATTTAGGCACCATGGTTCTCTTTCAGCCTGCCAAATTTTCTTTGGCCTGCTTGAGACAATGCTGGCATAGTCAACAAGGATTTGATGTACAACAGAGTACATATGTTAGCAATAGTAGTGCTATATTTCCTTGTGAAGAATGCTATCAATTTATTATTTAAGTCAGTTAAGTTACCTAATAAAGAAGTCATCATTAAAGTGGTAATTTAGACATCAATGCTATATTTTTTCGAATCTTCTTTGTATAAGACTATAAGTTACACGAATTACTTATGTGGATCAGTACCTTTATTTAATAATTATTAATAAAAAAACAATTTAAAAATAGTTTCATACTAATAAACTAAGCATAAAAGTGAAAAACATATTTTACTAATATTTCTCTGTTTATAAATTAATCTAAGCAATGGGAAAGAAAAATACTGCAAAGTACTTGCTTCCAATCATGACCACGTCTTTTTTCACCCATATAGTTGTCCCTCTCTTCAGGTTAAAAATAAAGAATTTCAAGGAGAAATAACACAAATAAGGAACATTATTTCGGTGGTGTGCGTAAACTGGTTTAGCTAGTCCGGAGTCCAAACTGGAAGTTTTTCATTTAAAAAAGGGAAAACATGAATGATGGGGTCAAAGAATCAACCCAATAGAATTTCGGTAAATTAATTCAATGTATTACTCATAGCATGTACACAACTGATGTTACTTATACTACCCTGTATACTGTTTGAATTAGTGATAATCGTGTACTGTAACTGTAAACTGACAAATAGAGTACAGGCCAAGACGAAGAGCTTCCGTTTCAAATATGCATCAATTTACTCTTTGGAGGCACCTGTGGGACCCCATTCATCCATAAGTTTCACTTCACTTGGCATCTACGGACCCAGACGAAGAAAAGCTCCAGTTTCAAATATGCATCAATTTAATCTTTGGAGGTATCGGTGGGGCCCATTCATCCATGAGGTTTACTCCTTTTAGCATCTCTTCTAACACCCGGCTTTCAGCTTTCCAGATTAACTCCCACAAATTTATCCAATACATTTTTAAATGCCTGCGTTCATACAGGTAGAGGAAATGGAAGGAAAGAAATTAAACAAAATGAAATATCTTAATTCCATGAGTATATTTCCTTGAGTGTTTAACATTTAATAAAATTAGTTTTGATTAATTTAATTTAAACACTCCACGTTTAAATGATTATGCATTTATTTGTCTGAACAACAAAAATTTCTTAACCCAATTGCATATTCTCTCTCATATATGAAAGTGAAACTAAAGTCTCAATGCACATGCAGTGCAACCAATGCTAGACTCATGCACAGGAATAATGATGAGGATAGAGACTATTGAAAAGAGAAAGATGCCACCATCAAAGTATATTTAGGAAATATGTCACTCTCGGGCAAAAAAATACAGAACAAGACAGTCAAAATTGTCAAAATCAATTGATTCTGAGAAATAAAAAAACAGTTTCCTTGGTCAGAAAATCATCAGTTTTCCAAATTGAAAATGACATATACAGAATATAAAGAATGTTATAAATGTTAAGGCAAAGCGTATAAAAATATTACGGATAACAAAAATATGACATACGATGACAAATGCAAGAAACAAAGTTTGAATAACAAAAATATGACATGAATTGCATGTTGAGCTTGAAATAATGCAATTAATGCAAAATAGTTATGGCATAAATGACAGGCATGATAACAACCTCTCCGCCATGCCCGATTCTTTTCACAGTTAGATAGGGAGCAATTGTGACTGGAATGAGAATAACCTATAAGTGATCCTAGCATTACTCTATCCAAGATAAGTCATAAGTCTATCCCCAAATTGCAACAGCCAAATAGCTTTGTCATATGATGAACTACCAAAGAAAACATTAAATATAATGCTAGTACACAACAATGTATCCAATCTACATCACAAACAAGAGATGGTCAAATATCCAAGGCATGTAAAAAATTTGATCGTGAGTCATATATCAACATTACTATTTTCTAGGCATTTAAAGCAGTAGCAACGGGAAAAAAAAATGGAGTAACATTGAATTAAAGTCAAAAAGAGGATGGGTAATCAACAATTGTTTACTTTATTTCACCCAAGTAAACTAATATTACATGAACCAATAACCATGTGAATAAAAGAAACAGACGTAATCCCTTGGTAGGATTTTAAAGTCAGATAGATGGTTCATGGTTTCAAGAGAGTAAGGAAACACAAACGTTTGACTTGCTTACAGGCGAAAGTCCAAATGAGCGAAATATCATCTTAGAGATGTTGGAAGCTTGCAACAAGCAACAATGGCTAAAATATAGAACCAAATTTTGCAAAGATAAATACAAGGATAAGTTCAGAAATTAAATTCCACAAAATAAAGCTAGAGCACAGCTCTGCCCGCAATTACCTGTTGAGTGAACAACTCCTTCCCTTTAAGAATTGAATTCATTGCTGCAGATTGGTCATCAAATGCACTGTAGAAAACCTCATAGAATTTATTCCTAGAATTACAGAGGTGGCCAAAAAAAGTTGAAGTCATCTTCCTGACCAACAATTGCATGAAATAGTTATGAAAATATTATGAGTTTGTACCGATCTTCCCCATGAGTTTGTTGATCCATCTCATCAAATTTCCGAGTAAGGACTTCAGCCCCAAGCGGTGAAAGTACATGCAGTACAAGAGCCTCTAAAGTTCTTGGGAAGTTGTGCTGAAATAAGTAAATAATCCAACATGCTTTAAATAATATATATATATATATATATATACACACACACAACTTAAATGACAAAAAAATAGCTAAAACCTATGAATAAGAAACAAGATTAGTATATAATTCAAGTTGCAGAAGTAGCAATAGCTCCAATATCACTGATAATTGGAAAAACTATGTAAAGCACAACATATAAAACAAAAATAAGAGGCCACAGTGCCCCTATCCTAATATGAAAAAAAAAAAATCCTAATCTCATTGAAACAAGTTTGTCAACTTGCAAGGAAGCATTCCATTGATATGACCAAGTAATAATGCCTTGTGTTTAACCATAATAAAAACACCCAAGCAATAGTTCAAAGTACCAAGTGCATAAAGAATACCAAACTTCATTGACATTTGCAAGCATAGTATCTGAATATAAACTCACCACCATAGCAAGAAAAACAACTTGGAGAGTTTGTGGTTTGACGTCCCAAAGAATTTTAGCAACTGGATCATCTTTCAAGTCAGCATTCACCATTTTCTCGCATTTACCATTCCCTACAAGCTCACAATCATTTAAAGAATTTGACAGTGATTGCTGATCGTGGTTGGCACTAACACTGTTGTGAACCAAAGACACAAGTTCATGAAGCACCTGGACTGCAGCAGGTTCTAATTCTAGCAATGTGCTCCTCTCTTTAAACCTTTTCTCTCTTAAATCCATCCCTTTCAACAACTGACCATGATTTTCATCAGCATGATCTGAGAATCAGATTATCAAGACAAGTTAGGCAGCCACTGACAAAAAAGATAAGCTGGGTGTTTATTTTTCTTGTAAAGAGGAAATCGTCAAAAACAAACTTCATCAAAGCCATCTGATAATTTACTTACCTGTTTGTCCATTATTAGGCAGCTTGCATACACCCATCCTAGTTCCCATCCCCAATTTAAGCAGTAGTTGGTCCTGTCCTACATTGAAAGAAAAAAATGTCACGAGTGCACTACAATAACTTTGAATTTAAGAATAGAAAAGAGAAAAGCATTCATAATAAGATGATTTAACATTATAATGAACTTTGCTAGGTTGGAAAAAGACAGATAGCAAACCACTCCCTTCTCCAAACTTTGAGAACAAAATTAAGAGATAAAATGATAGATGCTCAGAAGATTTGTGCTTGCTACTTCAACAATTGTTACTCCTCAATCTTAGCTATTAAAATTTTCCATAAATTGTAATTCAACAACAAATAATTATCTAATCATGTACCGGATACAATGACAGGAATGGAATATTATTGATTAAAAAGGAAATGAACCTCTAGAGCTACTACTAAGAGCCTATCTATCACAGGAAGATAAACACTCTACTCCAACACAAAAATACTACTCACCACCTGACCATTATCCATGCCTGCTCCCTATAAACCCGCTAGTCCCCAACCAATCCCTCTCTCCTCACATTTGCAAGGTCACTAACTCACTCCCAAGTCCACTCATCCATTTTCTTTCTTCTAGAATATACTTTCCAAGTGCATGGCTTATTTGGGCTCATACAAAAATTTGATCCACTTCACCATTGGGCTCAGAGCCCAGAGGCCATATCAGAATCAAACTGAATTTTATGCCAGTAAGTGATACTCAGCATAGAAAAAGGAAGGCAAATAACACTTCAAAATGCAACACATGTCACATCAGAAAATTTTTTAAAAGGGAAATAAATTACATATATACATAATTACAGATGCAGATGAGTTCAAAAGTTTACAATATAAGAAAACTTAAATATCAATTTTTAGCTTTATCCAGTTTCCACTCTCCAATCCCAACTGCTCAATAAAGGTAAATGAATATAGAATGTAGACTTTATTAGTATTTTCTCCAGTATATGACATACAATTTAAGCAGGCACGTACCATTTCTTTGTCAATCAATCTTCAAGTTGTATCAGTTCGATCAACAGGCAAATTATATTTGACAAAAACACAATAACATTCAAAAGTCAGTCTATCACATAAGCATTTTTTCAGCAACAAAAATTGAACAAATAACTATTTCATCACCAATACCTTCTCAATATTCTACGCAAATAATAAGCATCCATGTGTTCCAACATGGAAGACATCGTGTTGGATCTCCACCAAAAATTAATTGCAATGGTCAAATCATCACTATCTACTTGGTGAAACCTACATAAAAAAGAAAAAAGAAATAATGAAGCTAATGATATATAAATAACAAGACGAGACAATTAAGAAGTTTATAGGTGCAACAATAACCAAGTCTTTGCCCTCAAGGTGGGGTCAGTTACATAGATTAAACAATACCATAAAGTAGTCATAAATCAAGTCTATAGACAAATTATCAAATTGACCTCTAAATCCTTCTTAGCGGTTTCGTCTATAATTTTTCTCAGTCTCCATCTATCTCAAGCAATTGGTCTACCCTCCATCTGATCAACTCTCCTTAGTGGGGTTTCTACAAGCCTTAACCATACATGCCCAAACCACCTAAAGCAAGTTTCTACCGTATATTCTATAATAGGTACTACCCCAACTTTTCTCTTACGCATTCATTCCTAATCTTGTCTAGTGTGTCTACTTATCCAACACGGAATTCTCATCTCTGCTACATCAAGTTTACTCTCCTATTGGCTTTTTACCACCAAACATTGAATTCCAACATCACAAGTGCTATAGCTATGCAGCAATTTTTTCCTTTAAGCTTTGATGGCACATTTTTAGTCACAAATAACACCAAAAGCAATCCTCCATTCCATCCATCCTTCTTGAATCCTAAGGTTTACATCTCTCTCTATATTAAGGTCATTTGGTATGATTCATCCTAGACACCTAAAACATGTGACTTGTGATAAATATTCTCCAACAAAGAAGTTTATAGAGTAAAAGAAATGCATATTGTCTAATGGGCATACCAACTAAACTAAGACGGGAAGTACATTAATAGGTTTTTTTTTTTTTTACACCAAAATATATACATTACAAAAAAAAAATGAACTTGAAGCTTAAAGTGAAAAATGAATGGATTTTTTAACTGCATTTAGCATATGTTGAGTTTTTCATCCTTCATGAAAGATTTATTCTTAAATGCCACAATAACCTTTAGCTAAGTGTTTTATGCCGAGGAATAAAACAATGGAAATGGGATCCAACAAGGTCACATTATATCAAACATTAAATTATATAATCATTCCAAACATAAAATGGTAAGGAACATGATTCTGGAGTCGGGGAAAAGATAATGCAACATAAAGATATAGGAGAAGAATGAGTAAGCGGCCCTTTAGAAATTGTAGGTGAGCTAAGATCCATTTGGCCTATAAGGCAGTATAAATGGATACAACCAATTAACAAATGCACAGACACAAAAATATAAATATAAAAATAAAATGAAAACAAAGCCCAACTATATTAAGTTAATACAATTTGACATTCTGCTGAGCATTGGCAGCCAACAAATAAAACAGAGTGTGATCAATGAAAGTTCCAGACATACATGTAGCATAGCATGCTAAAAATAAATAAAATCGAACAAGTTATACTATTGTCATGCAGCACCCAGGTTTCCCTTTCCAAACCAACCAACCTGAACCGTTTTCCCTGATTCAGCTAAGGAATAATCTACCCAGACACGGAGGAATGCTTATCATAAAGACATTCTTGAATTTTAGACCTTACCAGCCTTCAGGAATGAAAAGTGCATCGCCAGCCTGAAGAACAACCTTTTGTGCAAACGCCATTGAGCATTCTGCCCTTGGATAAATTGAATAATCAGGATTTTCTAAAGTAACAGAACTGCCACATGAATTTTATAGGGAAAAAAGGACAAAAAAAGGTTAGAATATAATGATGCATTAGTGAGTTATGTATTATGGACCACACTTGTGAGAATTGTATCAATCTCATACTAGTACAAGTGCACAACAACCTATTTAACACATCAAACCAGACAGAAGGAGCCTAATCTAGTCAAAGTCATACAGTAATTCTCTATCTATCGTCTCTTTTCTCTGAATATTTTTTTTTTAAGAATACCTGTGATTCGAAGCCTCCCCATATATAGGCATTGGGTAGAGTGAGGGACTAGCAGAAGGAGGCCACAAAACAACTGCAAAGAATTTGGTTCTGTTAGAGAAGGTTGTAAAGGGGATTAAAAAGAGGAGAGGAGAAGGTAGGTGAGACTCTTTGCATTAAGTAACTGAAAAACCTGGAAAGGAATCAAAGGATTTTTGCCAAAATCATAAAAGAACACTTAGAGGGAGCAGAAAAATATGCAAATAAAGTTCCAAAACTCTATTGGGAATTATACAGTATTTCTCATCATCACATTACTTAAGACATTAAATAGATTGAAACATCAGTAAGCTGTAAGCCATAACAACACGAAATTTCATATATAACTGATAGCAAAGCCAAGTGGTGCCTCCATTGCCACAGAGAAAAAAACACATATTCACGCTGGAATGTCATATAATACAGAATGAAGAAGGCAAATACCTTGTTTCCAGCCAGAAACTATACACAGAAGATTGTGATGGGGATCATAGTGAGTACTTGATCTGGCTTGGCCATTGTTCATCCACAAATTTATAGAAGATAGTTCTTTTGATTCCAAAATCGGAAGCTGCAAAAAACAAGAAGCTTAAATCAGAAATTTGTGAATATAAAATCCTATTACAGAGATCAATTTCCTATGTAGAGCTGTAGACTACATAAACAAAGAGGGAATAAATGCACTAACCATCTGAATGTCTTCCCTTAGGGCTTCTAATTGAACATTTTCCTGTCGATCACTGTTCATTATTGAAACCTGAAGTACACCACCAAAATTTATTTTAAATATATGCCACTGTTGCACTATCCAATAAGCAAACAAAACAAATTTAGGGTCAGGGCCAAGTCAGATGACAGTAACAATATTTTAATGAAAAATTGACAAAGCATAGTATTTTCATCAAAAGTGTTAAGAAAATAGGTTAAAAGCTTAACTCAACTATACAAAATTGGCTCGTAAAGTGATGATTGTTCCTCACTTATATATACTAATTTGGCCGTACTACTAATCGATATAATATAAGATCTCCAACACACACCCCTCATGTCGATGACTAGATATCTCAAATGTGAAGTTTACATGATTGGACATCTACATATGGTCCAATAACGGTCAAATAGTGGATGGGCAGATAAGTTCAACAAAAGGATAGCTTGGATAGACTTTGATATCATCTTAAGAAAGCGGATTAGAGACTAACTCAATCTTATAAACAAAATCAACTTTTAAGCTAAGGATTGTTCCTCTATTATTTACACTATTATAGCCTAATTCCTAGTCAATGTGGAATCTCCAACAAAAAACAATTAAAAAAATCATTTCATTAACTAATAGGAAAATGGTACTAATTATCTCATAGATGTTGGATTTTGAACCTGAGCTAAATAAATTTGTTCTGAAACATCTTCCAAGGCCAAATAAGCATCATGTTGCGTATCATCATGAATTTGCGGGGCGTTACAATGATCAATGCATTGTTGGTGCTTACCTTGCATCTGCATCCGCTTCTTACAAAAACCAATGAAGTTAGAAAATGGAAGAGGAACCTGCAAGGGAAGGAGAACAAAAATTAACTTCACATCATATAATCCACAGTACAAAGAGCAAAGGTAGTTTAAAAAAAATAAAAAATAAAAATACCCTCTGATGGCTTCCAAGATCACCATAAAAGACAGGTGCAGATTGAGATACCATAGCCTCCACCATACAAGAGCCCGCACGTGCCTAGGTTTCAAACAGATAGTTAACTAGTTTCAATCAATGATATAATACGCAACGAAATGAACAACGCATAGAAGATAATGTGAGTTAAGTGAAGATGAACCTGCAAATAGTCGAGGCCACCGTTGGATGGATTCCAGTGGGAGAAGGCCTTCCAACCATTGGTGCACCCGCGAAAAACCTTTTCGGTTTGGAAAAAAAAAAAAAAAAACAATTATGAATTATAAATAATAAATTGCACATAACAAAGAAAAGATAAGAAGATAGAAGGAGCAGAGAGTGTTGTTTGTTGTTTACCGCGGGAACATTTGTAGGCTCTATCAGAGATTCGAAGTCTTTAGCCGTTGGAAGCTCTTCGTATGTTCGGATTCGAATCGACGAAGACTCCATCTCTTCAATTCAAAACCTCTTCTCTTAGTTCTATTTGTTACTTCGAGTTTAAACTTTGAGAGCTGAATTGAATGTTCTGTTTTTCAGATTTCAGAAGGTGAAAATCGAACTTGCTACTTGCTACCGGTGATTTTGTGCGAGTGTGAGTGTGACCAATGAACATGCCAATTAGATGCTATAATATTTTTTTTTTTCGGTTTATGGATGATTTCAGGGCCCCGCTGGGCCACGTTCGAAAGCTTATGCTCCAATGGGCTAAGTATATGCTTAACTCAATAACAAAGCCCAATTATGTTTAATATATAAATCATGATATATATACCTCTTTTTTTTATAAGTATACTGTACATCCCTTATTTTTTAAAAAAATAATTAAATTTTTAAAATGTCCTTAATTTTTATTTTTTAATTTTACACTTTTAATCTTTAATTTAACATTTTTTTTACATAAATCTTTCCCTTATTTTTACATGTACCTTCTTAATTTTTTTTCACTCTCACTTATTTTGGTAGGTAGTTTTTATTCTTTTAGTTTTACATTATTCTTTTTTTCTTCCTCTTTCAGTTTTCTCACTGATTTCATTATCCGCATAGTACTCTAGAATAGTAAAAATATTTTTTTTATAACACTAAACTAAAGGTTTTTGGTGAGGTAAAAGGAAATGAAGTATTAGAAGAAAAAATGTGTGTTTAGTTTGATAAAAACTGTCGAGGAAACTATATGTACCTACAATGTTGTCCCCTACCAGTTCTATGATTTGGGTGCATGTGAAAAAATAAAAGAGATGAAAAAATAAAAGAACAATATAAAAATTGAAAAAACTAAAATTACTCAATAAAATAGGTGAAAAATTAGATGAAGATAAAATTATGCATGTAAAAATTGAAGAAAAAAAAGTGTGTGAAAAGAAAAAAATAGTAAATTAAAAATTAAAGATATAAAATTAAAAATTTTAAAAATAAAAAAAAATTATGAATATTTTAAAAATATTTTAAAAAAATAAAAGAAATGTACTTATTAATAAAAATAAAATTAAAAAAAAAGGTGTATATACCATTAGCCTTAATATATTAATCACATTGGGCTGGGTACGTTTACCCAAACTTAGAGGCCATAAGTGTTTACTTTTCCTGTTTACGGCTAATAATCCTCGTTCCAACGAATTATTTGATTTGAGAAAAAAAATATTTTTAATATTTGTTCATTAAATAATTATAAAAACATTACCTTATTTTACACTTTTTAAAAAGACATAAAAGTGTTTAAAATAACCTTTCATTGTTTTCATTGTTCTTTATATTTTTTTTAAGTAATAATATTACCTGTTTGCAATTATTTAAAAAACATAAAATATTTTCTAAAACCGAACAAGTCTTAAATTATGGTTTTGAAATTTTTAAATACAATACCAAACATACACGTGTATGATGGCTACTGCTAGAAAAATATTAAAAAGACAAACAAAAAATATTTAGTGAGAAAATGAAAAGGAAAAAACGAAGGAAACGATTAGGGTTTTTGTGGTTTATGTTCTCGAAAAAAAAATCAAAAAGAGATATAAAAATTAGGAGTCTTTTGTTCTTTGTAAATGGAAATAAAAAAGAGCAATTAGAAGTTGTAAAGCAAAAAAAAATCCAGAGCAATTTTGGAGTCTTTGTAATTTCTTTTCGCTTTAAACAAATGAAAGCAAAGTTATAAATAATTTAAAAAAAAATATTTTAATTTGATACTTAACAGAACAAAAGTTTCAATGAAAAAAATATATAGTTTTACGAACTACTTAAACTATAATTAATTATATACTAATTTGATGAAATTAATTAAGCAACCTCCATACAAGGCTTTCATTTGATTGTGTAGTAAATTAAAAGAAGGGTTTCAATAAAAATAAATAGTACTTACGTAAAAATATTTATATTTATTGGTATAATGTTCTTGAAGTTCTTGTGTCAATGTATATCTCAAGCATTTATTTTGTTCCTACTTTTTTCCATAAAATCATCAAATCAAACACTTTTAAAGTTGTTTGACTGCACCAACTTGTCCGTTTGAAACTATATTTAATTTTTGTTACTCACATGTTTATTTCAAAGGCTTACGAAATTGGCAATGTTCATATCTTGATGTATTCTACTAGACAACTTGATTCTATAAATGCTAATTCATTAAATTATTGATCTGGTTTAAGCTTGAGATGTCAACCAAATATGACTCAGTCCTCTTTATTGTCAAATTCACCAGTGAGTTTATGTTAAAAAGAGTTTAATTTTAATATATTATCAACCACTTATAAATTATTTCAAATATGACTTTTAAAATAATTACTATAAAATTACAGTAATATTTTTTTTATAAATGAATAACAATTTAAAGAAAACTTTCACTATCAATACATTTTAATTGAATTTAATTCTATGTTAAATCCTTATTTTTTTTATAATCATGTTATCATTAATTGCTCATGTTTTCGATAATTGTTTTTATCATTTTTTATATCCTATTGTATTCTTATTATAAAAACACTTCTAATCACGTTCACGTAAGCTTTTTGGTTAGAACTCGCAAGAGATAATAATTTGTTAACAACTTGAGTGGTCTAATCAAGTTCACGCATAATTATGCAATTGTTTTGAGCATAGATGATTTTTTTATGAGTTGGGCATAGATGATTTATTCATGGGTTATTATCAACTTTTTATAACATTGATACAAGATTAAAGGTATCCATCAATTATAATAAGATCACCAAAATGTAAGTAATTTATTAATTTTATGATATTTCAAAAATTTTGGTATAAATGTTTTTATAATTCTTACTCTAATAGCATAATCTCAAAACAACCAAATAAATTTTTTTATTAAGTGTTAGAAAAATATTTTTTTATTAATAAGATATAACTTATTTTTATTAAATTGATCCTATAAAAATAAAGTGATATTTTTTTATTATAATTTTATATTTAAGTCAGGAACGAACTCAAATTAAGAAATATAAGTACTGAATCATTTAAATTAATATTTTTTTTATAAAAGAAAATCACTTTTTTGGTCTACAACTACACACCATAACCAATTTATATAGTCTAGAATTTTTTTGAACCCAAAATTTATGAAAGCAATAAAATTTTGTTTTATAAACTCGTTAATTTGAATAACATGTACAAAATTTAAATTTAAATGTTAAAGTTGTCAAAAAGGAAAAAATATATATATCTTGTAGGCAAAACATAATTGAATTTGGATAGGGGACACTTCTGTTATTTAGAATCGTAAATTTGAGTAGCTCAAGAACTTTTCAAAAGTTCAAGTGCAATTCTATCGGGACAAGTTAACAGCTTTATAATTCTTTATATATATATATATTGTTCCTCTCTGTCTCACTTCTTCTTTTGTTTTTTTTACTTCCTTTCTTGAACAAGTGGGTGGTATTTTTATTTTTTTTTATCAATAGGAGAAATCTTACAAAATGATCAACTTTAAACTCGAAACCTGAACTGTTCAATTTTCCCAGCACGGTTGTACAAATGTGAAAGAAGCATTAAAAGATCAACATCAAGTATACTGTTTTATATGTTGATTGTAAATATTGTGGAAGTGATCAATTTTGGAACAAATTTCAATCGAGGAGTAATGATATATACTCCAAATCAATTGTCTGAAATTTTTTTTCAAAGACATAAAAGACTCAAGTTGATCAACTTAAATATTTGAAAATTTAAAAATTTTAAACGTTCGAAAGATGTTTCAAATTTCAAATTCGAAGGATTTAGTATTTTTGTTATGAAATAATTCAGTTTTCAATAGTAGTGGAATGGACAGCAAATTGATTTCTGATTGGATTAGTCAAACCCAATTTTAAAAATAATATATAAAATGTCAATAAATTTATCATATACATAATGATTTATAATTAAATAAAAATATTAAATAAGATACTCAATATATAACATATTTTCTCTTATAAAATAACTATTCTCTTACATTTAAAATAAAATAATAAAAAAACCACAAACTGACTTTAATATCTGAAAACTAAAAATATCATAACACATTACTTAATGTTAGTATTAATATAGAAATAAATGATATTTATGTGTATCATATATTAACAGTGTTAACATAAATATATAAATTTACAACAGTGTATAAATCATGAAAATTTTTAAAAAAATGTAAAATATTTTCGTCCGTGGGATGCATGTATATTAAATATAGTGTTTTATTTATAAAAAAACAAATAAAAAGGACAGTGATGCTTTGATTCTTTAGAATCATTACCAGGTGACGATGACATTAAAATCTTAGGGAATATTAAAATAAATTTACATTTATTTTATTCCTAAAGGAAATGCTTGGTTTAGAATTTAAGGAACCCGATTTACATTTTTTTTTTTACGATAAAAGCACCTTTCAGTAAACATCTAGCCGCGCCATCCTCTTCTCAAAAGTAAAATATATTTTTTTTTTTTGAAAAATTAAAAAAAAAATGGGTTTATTATCAGGAGTGACAAAAAGTTAGTTTCACTGAAGAAATCTCAAACTTAAGAATTTATGACAGGGTAGCTGAAGATTGACTCGTCAAATAAATTTAAAGAAATAGAAAATGTAAATCTTTTAAATATAATTATAACAACTATTGAATATTAAATGTGCTTTTTGATTATTTAATATACTTGTTTTTTATTTTAATCTTCTAAAACTATTTTTAAAAAAAATTTATACAAAATTCAAAAAACATTATTAGTTCTTGTTATTTAGTCATTATTTAATAAATAAAGAGTCATATATATATATATATATAAGGAAACATTCAAGTTTTTGTATGTTTACTTTACTTAATAATTTTTTTTTACATCAAATTTTAATGACTTAATTGTTGAATTATAAATTCTTAATGTATCAATAAAGTTTCTAAAATTTTTTAAAAAATGAAAAATATTTTATGCTTTATTTCATTGATTCAAATTAACATATAATCCTAAAAATATTTTATACATTGATTTGAATCTATATAACGAAGTGTCATATGGTGTTCAAATTTTTTAAAAATTTGTAGATTTGATCTATGCATTAAAATATTATAATCTAACGTTGAATTGTTGAATTTGATGTTAAACATAAATTATTGAGTCGAGTAACTCTACATAGACTCGC